ACTCCTAGCCGGAGCGGCAATTCATTTGGACTGGAGAGCTGACAAAACAACAAAAGAAATAAAGATCAGAGAGCTCTGATCCAGCCACACAGTCTGGACCCACTACGCATGAGGTGCTCTCAAGCCTACCGTCTTCACCCGAAAATAACGCCCGGGCGTTATATTCAACTTACCCTAAAAAGATGAGATTTTCGTTTTTACTCACTTTTTTTCAAATAGAATGCCCCTTCGAATAGAACGCCCGGGCGCTATATTCGAATGTTACATGGACAGAGTGCCTTGAAGAGGTGGTATACATGGGTTTTGAAGGGTGGGGAAGGGGGTATACATGAGTTTTGAAGAGGGTTGAATGGGGTTTTGACTTCCAAGGGATATATTTTGGCTTTAGTTTTTGTTTTTATTTTTTATTTCCGAGTTTCTAAGGAATTCTGAACTGACCCTCAGCCAAAAGTTGGTCGTATTCCAATTCTGGACAACATTTTTTTTTTTCAGAATTTTTTTATTTTTTTTTTTTCCGAATTTTGGGGCCTCACAGAAGTTACCACAAATTTACTGAATATAACGCCCGGGCGTTATAAACGAATATAACGCCCGGCTGGCGTTATATTCGTACACAACGCCAGGGCGTTATTTTCGGGTGAAGACGGTAGTCGGACTCAGCTCCGTGAAGAGACAGCAAATCAGATTCAAAGTGTACTACATAATGCAAGAAAGAATTGAGTGGTGCTCAAGGTGCGGGTCAGACGACGGATTGTAAGGTAAAGTCCGATAAAACGTCTCAGCAGAGATCCCCTCCGCAGCGAGTGTCCTTGTCCGAAAGCATAAAGTCCGAGTCTCAATCAGATAGAGCAAGGTAACTGACGTCAACAGATTTGGCCTGACGGGCCCTTCTTGTTTGGGCCTGGTCCCACTGAGTCCCAAACGGTCCCAGTGGAGTCAGAACCGGGTCCCAATCAACAAGACTTCCACAAAGACCTGCTCTATCCCTACCAAATTGAAAAACGAAATTTTGCCCCAGAAAGAACCTACAGACTACAACCGTTCAGAATGAAATAGATAAAGCATTGTAGAAAGATATCGCATGGCACACAAGATACTCCATCCATTCACTCATCAGGCGAGTAAGCAGTTCACACACTTCACGCAAGATCAAGACTATGGAGGATGGAAGAAGAACCCAGAAAACCCCAACAGGCAGTCAATTCCATGCACACACACATGGGCACCCTGGCAACACGGCACTTACCTAAGTGCCCGGGCTCTTGAGATGATAGAACTCACCCCCCTCTCACATAGTCCTCCTGACCCAATTAGCATCCTCTACACTAGTGTCCTATCATCTAGGAGGGTCAACATCTACCCCAAAGTACAAAGCCGGATCCCCCATCGATGTTGAAGATCAAAGCAGCAACTTGCAGTCCGTAGGTGCAGATATGGCTGCCACCCTCAAGCTCGCCTAACTTGAGGGGAGCCCTAAAGTCACTCCTTGTCTTCCTTGAAGTCCAGATTCATGTTGTAGGTGCCCTTCAGTGTCGCCTCTCTCAAGTTGCATTACGAAGTCCCACCTTGTGTCTCGCCACCACAAACATGCACTCAAGCAACCTGGCTGGGTCTAGTGTCGACCCTACACGGCCCTGCCAGGTGGGGGCAGTTTCCTTTTACCACGCTGCCCCACTTAGCCCTAACTTCCGCCCTCACCCTGAGTGGTTAGCCCTTACCACTAGGGTTAGGGTTATGGCAGCAAAGTCAACTCTCGCCAGCAAGTAGAATCCGCTCTGATACCAATGTTACGATCCTGGCCAATTTCGAAGTATACAAACATCAGAAAGTACAATGTCGTCCAATTGCAAAAAGAAATGAATGAACTTGAGAGAAGAGAGAGGGAAAGAAGAAGAAGAAGAAGTAAGAAAGAAGAAGAAGATGATGTACTCCCGCATAGGCCAATGACAAGGCTCTTCTTCCTCGCCAACCAATCTCCTCCTCCTTATCTCCTCCCCTCTTATTCAAATAAGAAATAACAATAATAATGTTGAATGGCTGAACCAGAATCAATGTCGGAATCCCACTTCTACTGCAGGCACAACATGAGGTCCACCATAGCCATGGTCACCCTTCCTCTTCCTCTACATACAGGCCGAGGCTATGGCAGAGTACTGAGGGCTCTCCCTCCTGTCCAAAGGACAACCCAAAGCAGCTATGTTGCTGCCCTTCTGTCCCCAGGTCAACTCCCTGCAGCTATGCCGCTGCCTACTCAACCGCGATGCCTGACTCTGTCCCGAGCTTCCTTGATGCGGCACTACCCCCACTGGGGCCTTCCAGATGCAGCGCCTAACAAGGTGATGAAGATGGTGTCTACCATAGCCTGGTAAGTACCCCGCCACACTCCTCCGCGGTCCCCTTCTCCCTCCTCCGCCTACCGGTAGAGCTCCACCATAGCCAAGGTGGAAGCTCCCGGCTTCTTCCTCCCAGCAGCGCTGTAGTACCCAGCGGTACTCCAGCCAGTGCTCCAGCAGCCTGTCGCGAAACTTGCACACTGAAGAATGAGGCCGAGCTCTTGCCTCGGCCTCTTGATATAGCGGCCTGCTTGCCTCCTGGGCGGTGACTTCTAGGCCGCTCGGCCTCCCAAGCAGCCGGTACCTCCTCCCTTTCGGAGGGAAACATCATTGCAGACTCTGATATTGCCCGTACAGGCTCTAGACTCAGACTGGATGGACTGGTACCGGCCTAGACCTAGCCTACCGCTACTGGGCCTCTAAAAATGCCACCTTTGTCTTCTTCTGCTCGGCCTCGAGTACCCGGCACATCTACTGCTACTGGGTGTGGTACCGGCCTACCTGCTACTTGAGTGTTTTTCCGCTGCTCTAAGCACCGCGGGCCCTTGGCTCCACTACTTGAGTGTTTCCCTGCTGCAACCCTCAATGCCACGGCCACAGGTAAGTATTGGCCCTACGGGCCTGCCAAACAAGCAAGTACCCTTGCGGGTCACACACACACTCAGCCGACAAGCACTCAGACAGGCACGCAAATCCACAGGCACGCACACATACAGACTTAGAAAACACAGTAGAATGCGGGAATCTTGGCAAGGCATCCATTCCATCGGCAGAACTTCAGAAATCAGCAGTGTTCTCAGTCTGTGTTATGGCGGGTCATTACAAACTAGTTTTCTGCTCGTTTTCTTTCAATCTTGCACTTGGTTGTACTGTGGATCACTCTAGCATGCTTCTACTCGTGCATGTGTTTCAATTAGTTTCTCACTTGGTTTCTTTCGATCTTGCACTTGGTTGTACTTAGATTCCCTTTAGTATACTTCTATTGTACATATGTATGCGTTTCATCTAGTTTCCTACTTAGTTTCCCTCAATCTTGCACTTGATTGAACTTTGGGTTACTTAAGTATGCTTCTACTTCACATATGCATGTGTTTTGTCTAGTTTCCACATGGTTTCTCTCAATCTTGCACTTGGTTGTACTTTGATTCAATTA